ACTATACATAAAACACTGAGGTAAATTGCTAATATGATCCATTGATTTATTGCTAACAAATTTATTGTATTTTTTTCAATTCATTTTTTCATTGCTGAATTTAAAATTGCAAGATAAGAAATGCAACTTTTCGATTTTTCACGAATTTTTTTTGATGGTTTTATATCATGAATAGATCGCACTCCAAGCCAATCAACATGCTGGATTCATGATAGTCCTCGGTTTGATGGATTCAAATAGCAAAATAACCCACACGTCTCGCAAATCATAAAAACCAACTTGATTGCAGCAGTGCTTTGCGTATTCACGAGTTCACTGACTACGAACCGAGGCGTCCAACGTACACTGAGTATAGATTTCATTTTTACTCGGGGCTTACYAAGTGCTTGTTACTTGCTAGTACATGCTCGACGCTCATTGGAAAGACTGACTTCTGCTGTCCGTTGACTGCTTGTCTAGCTAACGCGTGGCCTTAGTATAGTAGCAAATAYAAACTTACCTACAAATATCATGCTCCCCATAACACTGATGTCGAAATATTGCTGAGGTAACTTTACCAACTAAACAACRTTGTATTATTTTGACAAGGGCAAATACGTTGATCACATGATTATCAGGTGGCTATATGTTGATATGTCTACAACCGGGGAGGTGAAAAGTCGCGCAATCTCATCTATCATGCCATGACAGTCACGCAATTGTAAGTCACTCTCTCTACCTTGTAATTTTAGTTCTTGTCATGGTTTCGTGAGATTCTGCTGTATCGCGACACGAACAATACACTACATAGTAACTACATGGCTAGCATTACTAGGGGACCTTTTGTCTCAATCTTCCAGACCAGAGATTCATTGTAAAACACGGTGAAAAACTATGGGCCCYGGCTACCAAGACCCACTATTTAATTTAATTGTAGAACTGTAAAAAAAYAGAACCATCAAAACAATAAAGCCCACAAATGGCAAATTGTCATAAAAAAGCTACGGTGAATTAAGTTTCTCGCAAAATTTGGACTACGCTTTTATTCCATTGCCATGAGCCCTGGTGTTCATGGCCTGTTGTTCACCTTGCTTATTAGGGGTAGTCCAGAACTGGACCCTCTTTTCTCAATTACTATAGATATAGATCAGTAAAGCGCGCTTTGGATTTTTAACTTTTACATAGAATATTATCTATAGTAATTAAGGAAAGAGGGTCCAGTTCTGGACTACCCTAAGCAAGGTAAATATAATAGTTTTCAATTCCGCGCGCGCAAGGATAAAAGAGGGTCCAGTTCTGGACTAGCTTAGGGGGTGTTTGAGTCTAGAACATAATAATACCTTTACCCAAAAACGAACATAAAAAAACCTGCGGATGTGTGTGACCAATCCCATTRTTCTAATGATTCGTCTCGAAAATGAAGTCTAGGGACCAATCACTACTATACTTATCGCCAGGGGTGGGGCGGAGGATTTGTGCTCATTTTTGTATGCAAACGAATAATAAGAAAAGTCTAGAAGATGGCCTTCTCGAGCAAAGGGCATAACAAATGGTCTTTTATTTAGTTAGTTAGTCGTGTTTTTCTTTGGTTGATTGACTGATTCATTGACGGAAAAAAACCGTCGCTTTTATAATTTAACCTGTAACTGTAGCTAATATATGCAAACCTGTCGCCTTTCATGAACTATCTATTTTAGTTATTTTCTTTCGTAGAATTTAGAAAGAACTCGAGACTCGAGTTTATATTCAGTATGTGTTCGCTTCAATAACAATGCGCCTACGCTAATTTGAACATTCCTTGGCTGTTAATGAACAGCAAAAGGTTTAGTAGTACTAGTCGAATCAGCATGCAGATGTTTTATGTATCTTTTTCAGGTTCCGACGATTGTGATGCAATGTGTGYAGGTATTCTCACCACAGGTAGCCCAAGCAAGCTATTAGTTGGTACCTTTGAGAAGTACTGGTAATAAACAAAACTCGAAACGTTTTAATCTTAAATTAGATAAAACGCACTATAACACTTTAACCGTGTGTTCATAAATGTTTCTTACTACTGAATTGTTATACTT